TCTTACTGTAGTACCTCAACGGCCGGTTCACGCATGTCTCCGTTTTACTGTTTCGTTTTTTTTTCGTCAAGTACAATAACATAAAACGGAACAGTAAAACGGAGACATGTGTGAACCGGCCGTAAGGTGTCATTATTTTGTATGCACATTGCACAAATCACAAAAATGCTACATTTTATAATTGTTTTTAATGATTTCCTAGTAATTTTGACTAACGCCCTCGGTCAAAACCACTTTTGAGTTTTGACTGTAATAATTTTATTATAATAAATAAGTATAGTTTCTAAAGTTATTTGGATCAGCTAATAAAATATAACTAGCAGGAAAAATATTTACACAACATGGGAAACATAGTGTCAGTTGAGAATTCAATCTACTAAAAAGCGTGAATGCACTTTTTTTCGAAGTTATATTTTTATACTACAAAATAATTGGCTTTTAAAAACGGTATTATGTAGGAGTAAAGTAAGTGGATGTGCTTTACTGGAATGAAAAACTTCCTACTTGTAATCTTACTTAACCTTTCTACTTTTGTACCAAGTACAATAACATAATTTGTAGCTACTATGAATAATAATGTTTAATCTATTTAGAATTTAGAATAACTAGTTTGATTTTCCTTTGTCCTTAATAATTCTATCCTATCTGCATTATCATAAGGTCAACTGGTTCACAGACTGCCCTATGGAATTAATTGGTTTCGGCTTTTCGTAAAAAGTAGACATTTAAGAAGTTTTATTTAAAAGCGTCATAATATTTATTTTCTAAATTCGCTCTTATATCGGAAATGGTATCTTCCAGTTCGAAGATATCAAAACTTCTGCTTAAATAGCTTCTAAAATTGTGTGCATTAAATTATGAAGCTACGAAAAATCATTTTATTTCATTAAAAACAAACATAATTCATTTAAATATGTGAAGAAATGGTATATTACATATCAAATACCATAAAACTTTAAATATTTAAGCTAAATTATCAATTTTTCCTTGCATAATACCTTACATGGATGTTCCGTTTACGACCTATGAAAACCTATAAAACTATGTAAATTGTCATTTATTACCTTGGTTTTGTAGTTTTGTAAAATAAAAATAGACTTACGACCTGAGCAACTTGCCTAGGACGAATATTTGAGGGGCGTAAAGGTCTTTTTAATGTAATTTTGAGGGCGTAAAGGAAATCTATCTCAGTAAATACAGCTCTAGTCCAATTTTTCAATACCTCTTCGGAAAATGCTGTGAATTCTAAGCACTTTCTTCTTAGGTCATATTTAAATAGCTCGAAAAACAAAAAAGTTACTGTCGAATAAAAAAATAAAAAATCGTTTTTTGCTTCTCCTGAAAAGTCGTACTTTGTCCTTTACGACCTTTGAGCCCAGAGGTATCGATATGTAGGTTTTGAGACAACTTTTAGGGTGTCAATATACACTTATTTACAGACTTACAGCTGGGTATCTCGAATTCCGAGGTGAACTTACTATAATGACTGGACTATCTATATTTTTATACCTTAGTTTTAACATCAACCAATAAACTCTACATTCGTAAGTTCGTTGCAGCCGAAAGACTTCCACTGCTGGACAAAGGCCTCCCCCAAGGTTTTCCACAAAGACCGGTCCTGCGGCGCACCTCTACATTTATAGAAGCAATTATTGAATACAGTCTCCCTCGATTCAAATACAGCAGATACGTACTTAAAACTACGACAAACGGATAGTACCTACCTATCTACTCCCAATTTCCTACCATACCTGAAAATCCTTTTCAAGTAGGCTGAAGTGACAGGATAAAAATTTCAATAGAAGCGTGGTGGATTGAATTTGACTATAAATTCCAATGTAAGGTATATTTTGATTACATCTGGGCTCACCTGGCTGTTTAGAGACGCCGTTTTCCTGCCCACGGCTGGGTCCAGCTTGAATCGCATCGCCTCTGGGACCTACGGACAACGCAATTAAATAAATTAAATTTCAATATCTCTAAAGAAAGAAAGATTAATTAATTAAATAACTAAGTATCAATATCTCTAAAGCAGCCTCCTATCCTATTTTTATATTTTCAGCCCCCATTTGCTATTATAAGTTAATTAGAGAGTGTCATGATACTCCTGCAGTGGTGACTATTACCTGCAGATGAGGTATATTATTTCGAGTTTCAGTGTTACCCAAAAAGTTAGCTATAATTTCGTTGGTGCTCACCTGGTTGCCAGGGGTTGATGCTGCTCTGCCGCCGATGGCTGGGTCCTGGCTTGATAGCAACGTTTCTGGGATCTACGGACAATGTAGTTAATGAATAAATAACTTTCAAGTAAGTACTTAAAAGAAGCCTCTACTCTTCTATTTTTTAGCATCCAACAAGGCCCGTAATAGGACGGTAGACGAATTCCGTATTATAGGTAAAATCCCCCATTTGCCACAAGTAAATTAAAAAGAGAGACATCCTCATTTAGTGGAGACTAACGCCCGTATTCACAAACATTAAGTACCACGAGGTCTCACAGTGCGCGTGGACGCACAGAACAATCACAGAGCTCTATTTAAACTGTGCGTCCGGTTTGCTGCTTCACTTAAACAAGTATCGTTTGTGAATACGGGCGTAAATTACCTGATGATCGGGTACGTATATTTCGAAATTTTAAGTGTTCAATGTTCATGTCATAGTTAGTTATTTGGTTTAGGCTCACCTGGCTTCTTGGTGACGCCGTTCTGCTTCTCAGAGCTGGTTCCTGGTTGGCTAGCATCGTCTTTGGTATCTACTGACAACGTAATTAATAAATAAATAACTTTCAATTATTACTTTAATTAATTAAGTTACTGCGCCATTATTACTTAGTTAGTTATTGGGTCACCTGGTTGCCAGGAGATACTCTGCTTCCCAGTGCTGGGTCCAGGTTGGCTTAGATCAACCACGGGATCTACGGACAAAGCAATTAATAAATAACTTTCAATAATACAAACATAAAATGATAAAATTAATAGACTACAGTAAATAAAATAAATAAATAATACAGGGTGGAAACGTTAAGTGATCTCACTCGATTATTTCTAAACTATACAAGATATTGAAAAAGTGGTAACTGATCCTGAAAGTGCTTCATGAGCTCTTTCAAACGGTACCAATAATTGGGTACAGCATAAACTGGATCTATCTGAAAATTCAATGTTTCCAGCTTCCATACTAAATGTATGCCAGCCACACAATATTAGAAGTGTAATTTTTCTATTTAATAATAAACTCTTAAAATAAACTCGTAAATTGTATTCTTATTTAAAATTATTCATGGAAAACATTGGTTTTAGGCTTTACTTGCTATAATATTGTCAAGAGATGAGTGTCATGACTGTGGTTGTACTAAATGTATGGAAGAAAGAAACATTGAATTTTTGGATAGATCCAGTTTATTCTGTAACCTATTATTGATACCATTGGATAGAGCTTGTGATGCACTTTTAGAATCAGTAATCAGTTTTACGATATCATGTGTAGTTTTTAAAATAATGTGACTTTACTAAATGAATGGAAACTGAAAACATTGAATTTTCGGATAGATCCAGTTTATTCTGTAACCTATTATTAATACCGTTTGATAGAGTTCATGAAGCACTTTCAGGACCAGTAACTAGTTTATTGATATCTTGTATAGTTTAGAAATAATCGAGTGAGATCACTTATCGTTTCCACCCTGTATACTTCAAGATAGAGTGTTCAATGTTCATATTGAATTACGTGTTTACACCATCTGATTCGATCAAGTTCGCGCATACTATAACTGCGCCATTACTTAGTTAGTTACTTATTGGGTTTATATTGGGCTCACCTGGTTGCCAGGAGATACTCTGCTTCCCAGTGCTGGGTCCAGGTTGGTTTAAATCATCCTCGGGATCTACGGACAACGGAATAATTAATAACTTTTATTATTATATTCCGAGATTTAGTGTTCAATGTTTATGTCAATCGTGTGATATTGAATTACGTGTTTATTACACCATCTCATTCGATTCGATCAAGTTCGCGCATGCTGTAACTGCGCCATTATTACTTATTGGGTTTGAGCTCACCTGGTTGCCAGGAGATACTCTGCTTCCCAGTGCTGGGTCCAGGTTGGCTTAGATCATCCCTGGGATCTACGGAGAACGCAATTAATTAGTATATTTAGAGATTGAGTGTTCAATGTCCATGTTGTTATGGTGTGATATTGAATTACGTGTTTAACCTGATTCGATTAAGTTCGCGCTTACTGTAACTTTTCCATTATAGTTAGTTATGGGTTTAAATTGGGCTCACCTGGTTGCCAGGAGATACTCTGCCTCGCAGAGCTGGTTCCAGGTTGGCTTAGATCATCATTAAGATCTACGGACAACGCAATCAATTAATATATTACTTTCAATGGGTTAAAAGAAGCCTCTTCATTATTTTTTATATCTTCGACCAATAATAAGGAATTTTGCCTACCCTCCTAATAAGGACAGGGCAAAATTCCTCATGGGGTGAAGACTTATCCCCCATTTGCCACGAGTAAAATATAGAATCGTATTTGTGTTCCTGCAGTGGAGACTAAGTGACCTGATGGTGAGGTAGGTGTTTATGATATAGTTAGTTATTGGTTAGGTTAGTTACAGGGCTCACCTGGTTGCCTGGCGACGATGCTCCGTCGCCCAGGACTGGATACAGATAGGCTTTCATCTTCCCCAGTTTCTAAAAACGCAATTAATAATTAATGTTCAATATCGTAGAAGAAACTTTCCCAACAGGTTTCCTAATTAGGTAACTATCTTATCCTACTGTAATATTAATCTACATACAGACGACTACACGTCAAGCTATGTGGCATTTTAAAACTAAAATACTTAAACTAAAGTTTAGATTAGAATCATAAAAACATGCAACAGAAATCAGTAGTGATGATGAGGTACAACATTTCAAGATTCAGTGTATCAAAGTCAATTTTATGATTGCATTTGGAATTTTGGACTCACCTGGTAGAAAAGATAGTCTGCTCTGCCTCCCAGAGCCAGATCCAGTTTGGCTAGTGTCGTCGCCGGGATCTATGGACAACGCAATTAACTATTAAAAAAACATCTTTCATCAATTTAAAAATGTGGGTACTTCTATTATTACGTGATCTGTGGGTACTTCTATTTACGTAGGTACTTGTGTCAGTTTGACCAGGCCTCCGTCACTCGGGGTGCAATGGTGAGGGACCTCCACGTGGTGCACCCCGGGCAACGTCCGTGTGATCTCTTCACGCGGGCGGCTGACTTCTCACCTGCGCGGCAGGTTGCGTCAATTCGGCGGGCCTGTCGGGCGACCCGTAACCCACAACGGAGTGGGCCGGGGGCCGTCGGGACATCTGTCCGGGCCGCGATGCTGGGAACATCTTAAAAATCCCCCTAATCCCAAGGTTCGGCGGGGGCCGATGGGATGAATACCTAGAGGGTCTCTAGGTGCTACCCCGTCGTGGAGAGAGGGTGGGGCAGCTGCGCCCGAAAGCAGTTATTATGACATGAGCACGATGGAAAATAAACTACCCCAGGGAGGTACCGGCAATGCCGGAGAATCCTCTGCCGCCACGGCGGTCACGGCCCACGTATCTGGGGGGGCCGCGCAGTGCCTTGTGTCTTCACCGGCGACTAAGCCGAAGCAATGTACAGCAGTACGAACTGATTTTGACAGCCGGCTGCGAAACATGTTCGCAGCTAAGACCGTAAAGGACACAGTCACCAAAAAGGCGGTCGAGACAGCCGCGGGACCAATCCGCGGTGCGACTCCCGCTCCAGTAGGTGACTCCCAAACTGAGACTCACTCGGATGTGACATCGGCAAAGGTAATGGTCGAGACTGCCTCGGTTCTATCCGGGGATCTGACTCCCATTACCCGCAGTCGCTCCCGGACCAACGTATCCAAGGGAAGAGTTAGCGAAAGACCTGCAAAAAAAAAAAAAAAAGGCCTCCGTCACTCGCCTATGCCGGCCGAGATAATTACCTACAGCGCGCGACAACTTCAAGTTGCAAATCAGTCAGGGCCGCCACGCGCCTGTGAGCACACGCGTATTTCTATACACGCTCGGTCGATCATCGTCGCAATCAAGGTTTATTGTTCCAACAGCACTGTTATTCTTCTTTAATGGAAAATCGTAATATTTAGGAATAATAATTAATTACACTACTAATATAAGCCTGCCCTCCTAAACAAAATGCACTTTTTGATCGAATCGAAAATCGAACTACATAAAAAAATTGCTTTTCGACCACTTTTCAACTGGTTTGCGATTACAATGTGCAATTTGTCTAGCTAGACCCACTGGTGCTCTTTCATCACTGATATTATTTGAAGTTTTCGATTTCTGAACGACTATTCTTTGTAGACTGTGGCCATTGGCCAATGTCATTCATTTTGTTTTGACATTGACAGAAGTAACGCTAACCCTCCTTGAATAATCGTGTTTGTGTTGAATTTCTTTAAAATAATGTTATTTAAATAAAGTAAAGTAACTATAATATTGCTAGTGATATTAAGTAGATAATTAATTGATATTTGAAACCGTTCACAAAAGTATAAGACCATGGCGGACGATGTAATCAAGCATTCAGTTCACACCTTGGTGTTCAGATCTTTGAAGAGGTCTCACGACATGTTCCTATCAAACCAGGGACTTCTACCGCCTATAGACGAAAAAGCGTAAGTATCTGTGTTGTAATAATACACTCACGAGTGACTTAATTCATCATATTTCCTCATGACGCTTAAACAAAATCTCGTCAAAACTAACCTCCGACACATCATCTATTTTGTTGGTTTATGATTGGTTTATGATAATTATTTTAGACTCATATTACTTCATCAATAAACACTGAATTATTTTTTCATTTCTAGCGCCCATTGTGAAATCGGTTTTGCTCATGATTGTCAATCATTTCAAAATATGAATCATTCTAAAACATGCAATGGTATTTTGCCATACAAATGCATTCCTAATACGTGGTATTAATTTATATAGCAAAGCACTCCCTAATAGTACCTACGACTAATCATCAAATAAAACATTAGTATAAATATAATGGGTCTTGTTTCAGAGAAAAGATACTGAAGACAGTAAAAGCAAGGGACAGTTATGGACAAGTGCTGGCAACTGTGCAGCAGGCACAAGCTGTCAAGCAGCAGGAGGCCATGAGCCGGCCGGAGACTCCACACGACATGACAGGTATGTCACATTTGTTCACATACTAGATTGAAGCTCTTTAAGTTATCAATCGCTGTTCTATGTCTTATTGTTAAAGTTTTTTGTGATTGAAAATAAAAATCATTCAATTTAATATTGGCAAATGAGATTATAACATTATGATTAAGAATATCTCATTTTTGAAGTTAAAATAAATTAACAATTAACATTCTAAATTATGTTACAAAAAAGAAGTCACTTAAAATTGCCACATTGCAACAGCATTCATTGAAATGCCACTAGGAAACAATTTTAAAGATACTATCCAATATCTAAGACATAAAAAATCAATGGAAGACTTTTTTATGATTTCATCATTCACCATCACTAAAATGCTATTCATCAGCCAAAAACACATTATTAAATTAAATTCCAACCGTTCCAGAGATGGCAGAATCAGCAGCGCTCGGCTCAGAGACAGCCATGCTTCCCTATACTGGCCCAGCACCATCGCCTGCTCCTCCGGCGGGTGCCCTCACGGCTCTGCCTCGGAAGGCGCCCGCCATGCCCAAGCCTAAGTGGCACGCGCCCTGGAAACTGTTCAGGGTCATATCCGGGCATTTAGGATGGGTGAGATGTGTGGCAGTTGAGCCGGGGAACGAGTGGTTCGCTACCGGTAAGTGTTGGATAAGGTGACTAGGGAATTTCAATAGCTTTGTATTAAACAAAGATTACAAATAATAGAAGT